AGGTTTGTTTCCCATATCTACATTATCTATTAACTCTGCGAGTTCTAATTCATGGATTCTCGATAGTGGAGCTACGGATCATATAGTATCAAAATCTTCTGTTATGACTGAACCAAAGGCTGCCATCATGTCTACAATAAATTTGCCTAATGGAGAGACAGCACGTGTGTCACAACTGGCAATATTTCCCTTAGCCCTAACCTTAAATTAAACATCGTTTTATGTGTGCCTTCATTCAATTTAAACCTAATGTCGATCAGCAAACTTACCAATAACTTGAAATGTTATGTCACCTTCTATCCTGATTCTTGTGTTATGCAGGACTTGGCTACGGGGAAGATGATTGGCTCGGGTAAACAATTTGGAGGTCTCTATCATATTTCTTCATCTCCAATCAAGTCTTCAGCTCATCAAGTATCTCAGTCATCTGATTTGTGGCATTTACGCCTAGGTCATCCTTCCTTTTCTCGTTTTAAATTTCTAGCTGATCAATTGCATCTTAATAATGCGAGTTATTCTCATAATTGCAGTATCTGCCCGTTAGCAAAACAAACTAGGTTGTCTTTCCCAAGAAGTTCAATAACAACCCATTCTGCTTTTGATCTGATACATTGTGATGTTTGGGGACCACATAAAATTCTTACCCATTCTGGTTTGCGTTTTTTTCTCACTATTGTTGATGATTTTACTCGATGTACTTGGGTTTTTTTAATGCAACATAAGTCAGAAGTACATCATTTGTTGATGAACTTTGTTAAATTCGTTCAAACTCAATTTCATACTACTATCAAGATAGTTCGATCAGACAATGGGACTGAGTTCCTATCTTTGCAACCATTCTTTACTTCTTGTGGTATTGAATTTCAGCGCACTTGTGTCTATACTCCACAACAAAATGGAGTCGTAGAACGCAAGCATCGCCATATCCTAAATGTAGCTAGGTCTCTTCTATTTCAGTCACAGGTTCCACTTAATTTTTGGGGAGAGTGCATTTTAACGGCTATTTATCTTATAAATAGAACGCCATCACCATTATTATCTAACAAGACACCCTTTGAAGCACTCTACAAACGACCACCTACATTTCATCATCTTAAAGTTTTTGGTTGTAAATGTTATGCAACTATAGTACATCCTAAGCAAAAATTTGAACCTAGGGCAACTCTTTGTGTTTTCGTAGGATATCCTTGTGGTCATAAAGGTTACAAGTTGTATGACATGCAATCTCACACATTCTTTATCAGCCGTGATGTCAAATTTTGTGAAGATGATTTTCCTTTTTCATCAGCTTCACAAACTTCGACATTAGCTCCTTCGACTCCTGTTGTACCACTTCATGATCCATCCTACTCAAACATCCATCCTCCACCTTCACCTCCTACTCCTCCTTCACCTCCTATCCCTTCACCTACTACTCCGTCGTCTCCTCCACCTTCTCCAGATTCGCCCACTAATTCCAATCCTATCCCACCTGATACATCAGCTCCACTTCGACGTTCTACTCGTACTAAACAGCCTCCAGCTTGGCATAAGGATTATGAGATGTCTTCTGGAGCCAATCATTTAACCTCTAGCTCAAGTCCCGGCACTGGCACCAGGTATCCCCTTCATCATTACCTTTCATTCTCTCGTTTTTCTCCTACTCAACGTGCTTTTCTAGCTCTTATTACATCCCAGACAGAACCTAAAACCTATGACGAGGCAGTTGGCGACCCGTTATGGCAGCAGGCTATGAATGATGAAATTGCAGCTTTGGAACGTAATCATACATGGTCTCTCGTTCCTCTACCACTTGGTCATAAAGCTATTGGTTGTCGTTGGGTGTACAAAATTAAATACAACTCTGATGGTTCTGTTGAACGTTATAAAGCTCGACTAGTAGCAAAGGGGTACACTCAGGTTGAAGGTATTGATTACACAGAAACATTTTCCCCTACAGCGAAACTTACTACACTTCGTTGCTTACTCACTGTTGCTGCTGCTCGAAAATGGTTCACCCATCAGTTGGATGTTCAAAATGCCTTTCTCCATGGTAATCTAGACGAGGAAGTTTATATGTCTTTACCACCAAGTCTTCGCCGACAGGGGAAGAATACAGTATGTCGGCTCCATAAATCTCTTTATGGATTAAAACAGGCTTCTCGCAATTGGTTCTCCATATTTTCTACAACTATACAAAATGCAGGCTACACTCAGTCCAAAGCAGATTACTCTTTGTTTACTAAGAGTAAAGGTACTTCTTTCACTGCAGTTCTAATCTATGTTGATGATATTCTGTTGACAGGCAATGATCTCGAAGAAATTCAATATCTCAAGACTAGTTTACTCCAGAAATTTCTTATCAAAGATTTAGGAAATTTGAAATATTTTCTAGGCATTGAATTTTCTCGATCTAGAAAAGGAATTTTTATGTCTCAAAGGAAGTATGCTCTAGACATCCTTCAAGACACAAGTCTTACAGGAGCACGTCCAGACAAATTTCCTATGGAGCAAAATTTGAAACTTTCTTTAACCGAAGGAGAGAATTTGAATGATCCAAGTAAATACAGACGGTTGATTGGCAGATTAATATATTTGACCGTCACTAGGCCTGACATAGCTTATTCAGTTCGTATGCTTAGCCAATTTATGCATGAACCAAGAAAACCACATTGGGAGGCAGCTCTTCGAGTTCTGAGGTACATTAAAGGCACTCCTGGTCAAGGACTTCTACTGCCATCTGAAAACAATTTAAGATTACAGGCATATTGCGATTCTGACTGGGGTGGTTGTCGAACTTCCAAACGATCTATTTCTGGGTTCTGCATTTTCCTCGGAAATTCAATTATTTCTTGGAAGTCTAAAAAGCAGACTAATGTGTCCAGATCATCAGCAGAAGCCGAGTATCGAGCTATGACAAATACTTGTTTAGAGTTAACTTGGTTAAGATACATTCTTCAAGACTTGAATGTTCCACTGTCCGAACCAGCATTATTATATTGTGATAATCAAGCAGCATTACATATAGCAGCCAATCCAGTTTTTCATGAACGTACGAAACACATTGAAATAGATTGTCATATAGTTCGAGAAAAATTACAAGCTGGAATCATCAAACCGTGTTATGTTTCGACCAAAATGCAATTGGCAGATGTTTTTACTAAAGCTTTGGGAAGACAGCAATTTGACTTTTTGAAGGACAAGTTGGGTGTGATCGACATACAATCTCCAACTTGAGGGGGAGTATTAAGAGGATATTTTGCCGTGATAATTAGTTAGAATATATCTTAGATATTTAGGAAGCTGTTAGTATAGATTTGATTAACCGTATATTTTATTTATTTACCAGATTTAATTAGATATATATTTTTCTATTTTTAGGTATTAGTTGATAGTTTGTATCCTATTTAAACGTGTAAACCTGAATCAAGATCATACTTTCGATCCCAATTCTATTTCTATTTCTCATTCTTAACAATTTTGTAAAGAAAAACTTAGTTAACGGGCAGAATAATCTCTCAACTTCTTTAATTCTTCGTAGAAACGCGGATTTTTCACCTGGTTAGAGTAAGTCCCTGCAGAATATGTATAATGTATAAGGGATTCCTAACTGAACCATAATAATTTCATCCTCTTGTTTTGTGTTCAAAGTTGGAAAAAACAGGACAATGGCAAACCTTCCAATTTCATGTTTTGGACCTGAAAAAAACTACTTTTTAAAAGCATGAGAATCCAGATAATCATAATCATCACCATCATCATCATCTTGCAAGTTTCAACCAACCTACCAGTGATTGATAATTGAATGAAATGGGAAGATTTTTCAGGGAAAAAACAGCCAAAAAAAAACGAAAAGGATTCGAATTGGGTAAAAATGGCAGAGACAAAAAACAGGGGCCATCCAAATTGATGCTTCTCATCGTATAAAAGCGTAGAACATGTCCTGTTTCAAGTTTACATCAAATACAGCCCTGCATCCCATTTTTCCCTTCTAAATTCATTTGGTTTTGCGTCTTAAATGGAGGAACCAGAATCTGGGTTTGGTTTCTATCACGAAAGTGGGTGTCTGTCGGTTTGGCAGAAGAGATTGGAAGATATATCACTTCAAAACAACAAATTTGCTTAAACACTGAGAGGGAAACTAGAAAAATGGAGATGAAGAGGGACAGAGAAGGGAAAGGCAGGCAAAGGGGTTTGGGCCCCAATCGACAACCCACCGACAGTGATAAAGGCGCTCGATTCTTTTGGTGTTTTGTTGGAGCTTAAATGTGTTCATTTTCAGCAACAAGCGAGCAGTCATGCAGGCCCCCATTACAGGAATGGACACTGTCGTTTTAGAACTCTCCCTACATTTCCTAGACATGCCGGCGGGCTGTGATGCCACTTCTCACATGCCCTTACTTTTGGTTGAAGTCGATGTTTAGTTAATCATTTGTTACTGTGTGGGATTTGTTTCCAGGAAAACAAAAAGGGAACAGGGGATATAATGGAGGGATTCTCGTAGGGAAATGAAGATAATGAGGAGAGCAGCGTAGTCCAATGGAAATGGGGGCATGTTTGGTTGAGACCGACATGGATAGGGACAATTCCTAATGTGATGGGGGTGCCTACTACTTGTTTTTGCAACAACTTCGGCCGAGTTAGAGTCCACACGTCAATCTTCTGTTCGTTAATCGCTGAAGTAGTTCTATCTTTCGAGCCATTATAAAAATCTTTAACATTTTAATGAGACAAGACTACTCTAAACCCATAATCGAGGTCATTATATCATATTATAAACATTCTAATTCGCTATTTTAGAATCATGCTTACGAAAGTATAAGAACCTCATTGTTCATTCATATACCCTTCTCTTTATTATAACAAATTATTGCCACGGATAAATTAAATATGGATTTATATCGTGATCGTGTAAACCACTTAGTAACTAATACAATATAACTTGATATTAGTTCAATATACATCTCCTGCCTAGAAGAAGATGTCAACAGATCAGAACATTAAGAATGGTGAACACAAGGTTGAAGAACGGAATCAACTCATCTCAATTACTGTAACATCTAATCCATAACAGAAACATTAATCGATACACAACTCACAAAAGAACAAATCAATGACACCAAATTCTGTTTGTTCCGGGAAAACTTCACGTTTTCAAAACTCAAATATCTACCAATACCCACATCATCCAGCCCACCAATTGCATATTGTCAATCCTAGCAACAAGATCACACGGCTGGAAAAAGAGAAAATATAGATATCTGATAAAGAAAATCACCAGATATTCATCAAACCATGTATCTACTCGAATGCATCGTCGTCGTCATCTGGCAAAGGTTGGCTGGCAGCTGCCGCCAACTCAGCTTCATGCCTACAGAAAACAAGCCATATAAGAATTTGAATTGCTCAAAAGAATGTCAATGGTTGATTGGTTATGAGTTGTGATAAGAAAGTCTTACTGTTGCTGGGCAGCCAAGTCAATGTGTACTTCTGGAGGAGCAAGGGCAGGACTCTCCACAAAATGAATGTTAGCATCGCTAACAGATGTAACCACCACCATAAGAAAAGGAAACCAATTGTCGTCATGAGTAGTGAACAAACGTTTCAAAGATAACAACAGTATAAAGCAAACAGGCAACTGAGTTTACCCAGCTAACTTCCTGGCCAAGTACAAGAATGGCTTCTCAAAGTTGTAGTTACTCTTCGCAGATATTTCATAGTATTGTAGATTCTTCTTCCTGTGGAATGTGACCTGCTTGGCTTTAACCTGCCTATTTTTCACATCAACCTTGTTTCCACAAAGAACAATGGGAATATTCTCACACACCCTGCAATTTAATGAAGAAATCAGAGGGTGCCCTGACAATGCAAAATCCCTTAACATCTACAAACAAATGTCAAAACACCTGCAAAGATCACGGTGCCATGTAGGAACATTTTTGTAGGTCAATCTGGCTGTAACATCAAACATAATGATTGCACATTGCCCATGGATGCTGCAATCATGGACAAAGAACATTACATTAGAAATATCAACAATAGCAGGAAGAAATTTGATTCATAAGTTCATCATGGTAAAAAGAAATCATTTATCACTACAACATAACAAATCAAAAAGGCTCAAAGCAGTTCAAAAAAAGGGAATCAAGATAAATGAATGTATCAGATCAAGAGAACTTTGAAAATTCAATAAGATTACAAAATAAACTATAAAAACAATTAGCCCCATAAATCTCAATCCATGTTCAGAATAGTCAGGCAAACCACCGAACTTACTAGTATCCATCACGCAAACCCCCAAACTTCTCCTGCCCAGCAGTATCCCAGCAGTAAAATCTAATTTTCCCACAGTTTGTGAAGAAGTCCAGTGGGTGCACCTCCACGCCAATCGTGGCTGATTTCATAGAAAACATGAAAAAAAATGAATACAATTGAAAAGAAAGTACATAGACAGCACAATAAACAGAATAAACCATGCAATTAAACACAAAATGGCAAACCACGGACGTTCATATTTCTTCTCAAACTCCCCAGTGATATGCCTCTTTACAAAAGTCGTCTTTCCTGGAAAAAAAAAAATATATGCATACAAGTCAGTCATGAACCCAATAACAAGTTTGAAAGGGGTATAAAAAAAGATTCATCTTGCATCCCGATCTCTTCTTATGCTTTCCTTCTAATTAGTACAATTCTAATCTAATTTCGCAGCTAGTAAAAAGCTAACCAATCATTAGCGCCCATGAATACAAGACAAAGCGGTAGAGACAGGATTGAGTTGAGAGAACAAAAGATAGAAATACAACACATCAAAAGAAGCAACCATCTTTCTGAGACAATGCTACCAATAACTTTAAGAGAGACTCGTGTGTATTAAACTAATTTAGATCTTGTAGAACATATACCATTGAATAGAAAAGGCAGACATTATGATTGATCATCTATTCAAAACAATAACGTGTACAGAAAAGAACAATTGTCCTCGTTGATCAACTGTTACTACTGTCCAATCTCATGAATTCAAAACTATAAGACCTACAGAAATGAACCATTCCCCCATTGCATCGACTAAATATTCAACTCTCAGATGTGATACATACAGCAGGATGCCGCAGCAAACAATTATTGTAAAACAAAACTCAGAAACAAGGAAATACCAGTGCCGCCATCGCCAACAATCACAAGCTTGAAGCTCGGATAATCAACAGTCTTCTGGTCTGGCAAAGCCTACGAAATTGAGCAAGAAATAGAAGCAAAAAAAAAAAAAAAAAAAGGATTAGAATATACTCAGAAAAGTATTCGAACCGATGAAATAAACAAAAAACTGATCATCAGAGTGAGACTGAGAGAGACTGCCCACCATTGGAATGCGTCGAATAATGGAAAAGCGAAATGAATGGAAGGAATCGGCAATTTAGGTTGAAATGGGCCGAGATTTGAGGAAGATGGTTTCTAGGGCAAGCATTGCTGGCCTAGCTTTCAACTGACGCTACTTTCTTGACCGTTGGATTAACAGTCGGGTCCCTCTCCGCCGTTGCTTTTATCCACTGAATTAATACCAAAATCAAATATATTTTCCGTGGGGGCAGGAAGAGGTAAAACAGCGCCACAAAATTCAAAAAACACACGAGATTCAATTCAACAAAAGAAACCAACGGTGGAGCGTGATCCGACTGCAAATCCAACGGTTAAAACAAATAGCTTCTTGTTAGCCAGGCCAGTAGTGCTTCCCCTATAAACCCTCGTCCCTCAACTCTCAACCCATTTTAACCTAAGATCGCCGATTCCCTCCTCTCGTTTCGCGGTTCCATTATTCGACGCATTCCAATGGTGCGTTGTTTCTTTTATTCTCACTTCGATGATCTGTTTATTTTTTCTTTCATCTGTTCTTGATCCGGTTTCTTTTCGACGTATTTGTTGATTCTATTTTGTGGTGAATTTTGTAGGCTTTGCCGGACCAGAAGACTGTTGATTATCCGAGTTTCAAGCTTGTGATTGTTGGTGATGGTGGCACTGGTACGTTATGTTTTCTGAGTTTGCTTTTAGAACAGTAATCAGTAGCGATCGCTGTATCGTATCTTATGGTGATAGCAGTATGTCATTTCGGACGTAAAATGATCTTGGCTAGCTTGTAGTAGTACTAGTGTCTCAGCTTGGAGTTAGAAGAAGAGAGCTTTAAACTTGAAACTATGTTAATGCCGTATGATTTGAACAAAGATCGATGGTACTGGATTCTTGTTCTGAGAAGAAAATTTGTGTACGCTTTATTAGGTTTTTAATCTTGATTAACACTCGAAAGTCGATAGGTATTCAAGATTAATTCTTTCACGAGCACATACAATCCACCTGGACTTCTTTTATCTTTTTCGCTGGAATAGTTTAATCAGGAAATCCGTCATTTGTCACTGTTTGTTGTTTATCTAATAAAACTTGAAAACTCATGACATTGCCATGGAAATGAGAATTTAAAACGTTGGCAACAAAGGGTTTTTAGACTATCGGATTTTGTTAATCCAGTTTCGTATTGCTTCAGTTTGAAGACTGTCGAGATATTCTTGATAATACTTGAAATTAGAGTATGATTGAATTGACTCTCTGTGTTGCTCAGGAAAAACAACTTTTGTGAAAAGACATATCACTGGGGAGTTCGAAAAGAAATACGAACGTAAGCATATTTGCTAATCCTTTTCCATTTTGTGGTTTATTCACTGTTAGGGCTTTCTTTAAATAAATAAAAAACTCTTATATGAATTTGTTCTTCTACTGTTTTTCATGAACTTAGCAACCATTGGCGTGGAAGTGCACCCTTTGGACTTCTTCACAAACTGTGGAAAGATTAGATTTTACTGCTGGGACACTGCTGGGCAGGAGAAGTTCGGTGGTTTACGGGATGGCTACTAGTAAGTTCAAGAATTGGGTCTCCTATTCATTAAACTATATTTTTATGTTCCTAAGTTTCTATATTCCCCGATACATTCTGTCGATATTCCCTCGTATGTATTGAAAACGAACTGAAAGTTGCATAACTTTGGCAATATTGTTGAATTTTCAATACTCTCTTGTACATCGGATCTGATAGATTAGTTGATATTTTGACTATTGTGGCTTTCATTTTCGTGATGGACTTTCATTTCTCTTCATTCTGAGTTCAATTCTCTTACCGTGAAAATTCCTTATTTTGTGTCTTAACCCTTGATTGCAGCATCCATGGGCAATGTGCAATCATCATGTTTGATGTTACTGCCAGATTGACATACAAGAATGTCCCCACATGGCACCGTGATCTTTGCAGGTAATCTACCTTTTGTTTTTACGAACCAATTTTATATGAATGAATTGTTGCACATTGTCAGGGAAGAATATTCCAATTGTTGTGAAGAATATTCCAATTGTTAACTTATTAACCTGCAGGGTGTGTGAGAATATTCCAATTGTTCTTTGTGGAAACAAGGTTGATGTGAAGAACAGGCAGGTGAAGGCCAAGCAAGTCACCTTCCACAGGAAGAAGAACCTACAATACTATGAAATATCTGCGAAGAGCAACTACAACTTTGAAAAACCATTCCTGTACTTGGCCAGGAAGTTAGCTGGGTAAATCAAGTTCCCGGATTACTTTGTATTACTTGTCTTTAATGTGGGAACATTCATGACAATGAACTTTTTCTCTTCTTGTGGCGATCCAGGGATGCTAACATTCATTTTGTGGAGTCTCCAGCTCTGGCTCCTCCTGAAGTACACATTGATTTGGCTGCCCAGCAACAGTGAGATTTCTTCATCCTATGTCATGACTAATGAAAGCATTTACCATCAATGGACTAATCCATATCTACAATTTGCTTATTTTGTGCAGGCATGAAGCTGAATTGGCAGCAGCTGCCAGTCAACCTCTTCCTGATGATGACGATGATGCTTTCGAGTAAAAATGGTCAATCATCTTGTGCTGATGCCCTTTGCATATCTATTTTCTCCTGTTCCCCGGAGTGAGATTTTTTTTTTTTTTTTTTTTTTTTTTTTTTTTTTTTTTTTTTTTTTTTTTTTTTTTTTTTTTTTTTTT